CCACAGCAGGTACTGAACACGGTGGCGGCGGAGGTCCAGGAGCACCAGGAGGAGGTGGGGGAGGGGGAGGAAGTGGAAGTTCCTCATCCTCTGCTTCAGAACCATCCGGTTCAGGTTCTACTGGTGAACACACCCCAGGTTCTTCAGGACCTGGCTCCACGGGCACTTCGCAACCAGGTACCTCAGGTACTGGCTCCAGTGGGGGTCCACAGGGAGCTGGTTCCCCTCCTTCCGGTGCCCAGACTCCAGAAACTAAAGACCAACCTCTTCCTACCCTCCCTCCGTCGAAACCCTTCGACCCTCGAGGCCTTATCCCGTACACCCCTGCGATCATTCCCGCGGTGGTTGGTATTGGCGTCATTGCCTTTTTCCTATGGAAGGTAAGTATACACGACAATGCGGGCATGCCGCATGTGCAGGATGTTTATACCTCAGAAACTCCCGCCGGGCTCCAATACATGATCGTTCTAACACAAATGTACTCCTACATCCGCGTTCATTCCTTTTATCCTACCGTCCTCACCCTCCTCTTTACCCCCCTTTTTCTGCTTAGTACTTTGCGTACCTCGGCCACAAACGACGACGAAAGTTTCGAACTGTTCGTGACGTGCCGTCACCGCCACTCGACGAAGAAATATTGGCGCATCTACAACGCGGCGACGCTCCGCCACCCGATTACGGTTACACGATGGTTAGGGATAGGCGGCCTACATCTGCTACCGATCGACGACGACGACGCCAACCACGCGTGCATAAGCGCACGATCATCGAGCTACATCTAGAAGTGCTCAACGAATGTGAAGCGACCGAATGGGAAAACGTCAAACACGACTATTTGCAGATTGTTGTGGAGGAGATTGCACAGGATTTGATGCGGGATGCAAACGGGCATAGTAGTTTCACGGATGCTCCTACCACAAACCAGGCTTTATCAGGGAACAATGTTGCATCCACCGTCGACCCACCCACTGACATCGACGCAACAAATCGATTACCACCGAATGAACACGACCACGATCCATGGAAGTGTATGGAAACCATACAGTTAGAACAGGACACTTCTCCACCTAACGAAGAGCACCGATGGAGTTGTATGGAAAACATACCGTTAGAAACGGACCCTTCTGCACCGCATGAAGACGACCCCGATCCATGCAGTTGTGTGGAAAACATACAGTTAGCAACGGACCCATGTCAACCTAACGCAGAGGACCGATGGAATTGTATGGAAACCATACAGTTAGATACAGAACCCGACCCGCACTCCTCCCCGCGGAATGAACTGCACGCCCCCGCCTGCACTAATTGGATTAACTGGATTGACCGGCACACGCACCTATTGCAGGAGTGCACGACGCAGCCGTGGTTTTTGCAATTAAAAGCGGACTGGAAACAATACCTGCGTGATCACATGGCGACAAACGAAGACAACGAAGACCACGGAGTACACGGGCAGCGTGCACTCGGTGAAGCAGCAATCCTGCCGATGAAGAAATTGGATGCATGGAACGGATGGGTTGCAAAACAACATCGGCAAATGCGTATGTATAACGCGGAGGAGTGGTTCCAACATTTGTTGAATAATGTAGAGCAGCAGACAGCATCGCAAAAAGGCGAAGTACCTGGCGTGGAATATGCAATGTTCGCAGAACATATGCTACGCGTGAGAAATGCACAACGGACGCAACTGCATCCGCAACTGTACATGAAAAAACCGTTAACCGCTAAAACATGGATACTTATCCTGGCATTAGTCATAGAACAGTGCGAGGTCGAATGTCGTTTGCACGATAGGGAGTTATATGTGGATGACCTATTGGAAAAGCTCTGCAATTAACATGACGGCGCTCATGCATGCGACATAACGCATGCTAACATTAGACCACTTTTATTTCATTATGTGATATACGCAATATATTTCTGGTTTGCATTATTCCATACCTTCCTTTTTTCTTTTTCTGCTCTGTTCTGCTTACTGCTGTGTTCTTTTGCTTTTGTTTGTTTCTTTTTCTGTGTAGTCCACTTCTTTTAACATGACCATAGGAACTGGGTGGTACCGGTTAAATGCATATAAAATGTCGATTTAAATGAATAATATGACGGGGTAGAATTCTCCTTTATGTGAAGTTCATTATTAAAACATGAGCAACTGCATTCGAAGGGTATAGTGCACAACACATATAGCCTGCGCATACGCATTCGCGTATAAGGTGCTTGTCTCCGCGCAAACGCGGCCGCGTACACCGCATTGTAGCCGAGTGTAACACGGATTCGACGACGGATTGTCCGAGTGTGAGAAGGAGGACGATTGTCTCTCCGAGCACACGCGGCCGGGTAAACCGCATTGTAGCCGAGTGTAAGAAGGTACACATTGTCTCTCCGAGCACACGTGGCCGGGTAAACGCGATTGTCAGCGAGCACACGCGGCCGGGTAAACGCGATTGTCAGCGAGCACACGCGGCCGGGTGTAACAAGTATTCGACGAATGATTGCCCGAGTGTAAGAAATATTCGACGAAGTAGCTGCGTGCATGAACGCCGACATTGTGTCTCCGAGCAAACGCGTCGACCAACGCGGCCACGTGTAACAAGGATTCGACGACGTCGCCTCGTCAGCATTGAGCCGAGGGTAAGACGGATTGGACGAAGTACCTGAGTGTACGAAAGCACGGAGAGATTGTCTCTCCGAGCACACGCGTCGACCAAAGCGGCCGGGTAAAGCAGATTTCCACCGGGTAAACGATTCGACGAAGTACCCGCGCAAACGCGGCCGAGTGTAAGAAAGGACGGAGAGATTGTCTCTCCGAGCAAACGCGTCGACCAACGCGGCCGGGTAAACGGATTCTTCGAGTGAGGATCAGAGAGGCAGAAGAGTGGGCGGGGGCAGTAGCATGAACACACATATTTTGTGCGGCAGCACGAACGACCGGAGCAAGGCCACAACGACGGTAAACACGGCACGAAGAATTTGATGTTGTTGTTATTACTGCGCGGTTTGGAGGTGTACGCAGAGACAACGTGTGTGTGACAGGCGTTTCGTGCACACCGGTATAGAAAGGGGGGAGGGGTATATTCATGACGCGTTGCGTGTACGGTAGTGTAGTAGTACTTTTTTTCCTGTCGTTTTTTTTTTTTGTTCTTGTTTCCCTTTTTTCATTTCTTTTTTTCCTTCTTCCACACCCCACGCTTTATAGGGTGTGCGATTACATTCAAAGAGGGGATAGTTTGTTCATGGGACATGTTTCCGCAAGGACCTTACAAGGAAGACAGGTTCCATTCCATATGAGATTCAATAATACATAACAGCATATTGTGCGCATATTATACTCAAGCCGTTATTTGAGCGATAATGCTTTCATCCTTTGCACCCTATTGATTCATGATACGGACAATATGAAGTATGCGACGTTGGGACATTTATTAGCACAATATGTGCGGCAAAGGGGTCTAGTGGATCAAAAGGAACTGTATACGGTAATTTACTAAGACCACGAAGGTGGGGCGCAGTGTGATTATAAAAGCCTCTATACATGATAGTATGTATACATGCCTGTAAATATAATTGTACGCATCCGATCGTGCACTAATTCTATATTAATAATACATTGGACACCCACAGTTGTGGACTACGTGCAACAGTGTGGGCACATATGAAAATGCAAGAGACAGCTAATGTGGCCAATTATGCACAAACATATATGTTCCTTGTGCACCATGCAGAAAAGCCTAGGGGAAGATATAACAAATGAACTGGAACAATTTGTGAAATATATGGAAGATGAGGACATAGACAGCTATGCATCTAGTTGTTTGGACCAGGGTTACAAAAATTCACGCAACGGCATCATATTTATGGCGAACAAAGTCGCAGATAGAATTATGTGCACACTCATGTCAGGAGCATTATTTTTCATGAATGGGTGGGGTACACACGTTAGGCACAGGGATCATACAGACCTTAAAGATGAAGAGTTGAAGGCACATATAAGGTGCGCAATAGTAAATATATTTATGAACATATTGCTGGCATCTAAATGCAGAAGTCAATTTGGCATCAATCATGCATGGTACACCATGAAAGAGACGGAACCCGACTTCGGGGGTGGTTTAATAACCGACGGTACATGTGGACAGGGAGTGTTTGCAGATATACAAATCAATGACTTCCACATGGAGACAATGATTCAGACCTGGTTAGAGAACAAACAGAGCTTGACTGACAACTTTGCAGGTCCCGAAATACAAAGCACATGTAGGAAACCATTAGGGGCACGCGTAGGCGGCACAATCGATGCACATACCATGGATGAGAACACAGACCTGAGGCCAGAGGAGAAAGACGCTATACGTACGTTAGGCCAAGCACTGAAGACCATAGTTGAGGAGGTACAGAAAGAAGTAGTGAAATGCGCGGAGGACAATGGCGCATGCATGCAGTCTATCGACGCTGTCACAGGTAGAAATCGAGAGGGTGATGACAGTGAGGCCTCAGCACCCAACTCTGTCGCAAGCGCTACACCAGCACCAAACGAACCGCCAGGTAAGGACCGATGGGATAAAGCACCAATACGGCCGGCACCGATACGACTGCGGATGGATGCCGCCACGGCAACAACAACGCACACGCGGCGACAACAGCACAGCAAACGACGTCCATTGGCCGACTTCGGTTGAGCGGTGTCCACGACAAGTGCAGCCGTAACGAGTGCGGAGCATACGATGCGCTTCAATCGAGGTGTGCGTGTGTGTTCGAGGTGGGTAGCGACGACAGTGGTAGCGGCCACGACGGCAGCGGTAGCGGTGGGGACGACGAAGTGTACACGAGTGCAGACGAGGTTTGTGTGCGGCGGCCAAT